TATCAGTTCAAGGTTTCCCGCTTATCCCCGTGCAGTATCTGCGAGGACCAGTGGCGCGCCCCCGGGGGGGGGGGTCTCGAAAATAAAATAATAAAATGTGCTCGGCAGATGTACGAGTAACCGCCGTGACGTATATTTGGATTAGGCTGCAGAAACTTTTCATGAGCGCGCCACTGGCGGGGACGGCGTATCCGCACAAAAGCCGAAGCTTTAAATATTCAAATGGTAAATGTGTTTCGTATTGATTGCTTTGAATGAACACAACATACGCTGGTTGTTTAGCTGAAAGTTACAAGGTCGGCGTTGATAGATCGGTTTACGTAACCAAACCGCGCGACCATGGGCTCGGCGGGGGAAATTCGTAGAGGGGTCGTCACGCAGAGAAAAATGACGTAACCTCTCTTTGATTTAATATTAATATCAGTGGGAAAATTTTCCAATTTTTTCGGACAGTCCTCAAATACGTCCGTCCGGTCCCTCGATAAAAAAAAGATATTAAAACCGATATACCAGTGGCGGCTCGTGAAATTGAGAATAGGTGAAGTATATTCATTGATTGACTAAAAAGAAAAAAAGCGACGCAGGCGAATATTTTCAAATTTTCAAGGTCAACGCCGTTTTGTATTAATATTAATTTTTTAAACTTAACCATTATACCTTATCCGTACGCCACTGGTTATTCGTTCCTATTTTATTGCACACAAATTTCACTTCAATATGTTGTTTTGTTCAAGAGAAACTTAGAGATATAACATTTTTTAAAATAATTTTGATATCTCATCATATTTTGTTTGTAACTGGAATTAATATTTATATAGTTATCGATAACGGAAATAGGCTTAGTAGATTATTTCTACAAGATTGTATGTGGTATACCTTTCAAACTACGTACGTTTAAATGTGTTACATTAAAAGATTAATTCCCGATATTAGAAACGATTCCAACGATTTATTAAAATAATTCAAAGAATCAACGAAATATGCTTCAAACTCGAATTCAGTTTACAAGGTTATTCAAGCTAAGGCTTGGGTTGGGGGTTCTCAGTGCTATATTTTAAGTTTTGAGGTTTATAATGCAGTTAACTTACTAGATTCAACTAACAGTCATTTTTGATAAGCCACTTATCTCATTTTAAAAGCCTTGGAAAAGTAGACACAAAACAAATTCCAAATCAACAATAAATTTCAACTAAACATGTCTGCTACATACTTTTACATAGAAGTTTATAAAAAACTGCATAATTAAGGCTGTAACTAAAGTAAAAACTATATTTCCATCGATTATTGTACCTGTTTAGTGTAAGTTTCTTAAGGTCAAAGCTCAAATGCAATGTTTTTAATGACCTTCAAGACTGCTAATAAAATTTGTATACATCTAGGCACATTAACGCACGTGACATTAACGCCAATTGGTATGATTGTATAAAAGTAGTTCTTGATGTTTAACCATAGTTTCTAGTATTTATTCTATACGTATAGGTAAGATTTGACCTTTGCAAGGTCATGCCTTTAAGTACCAAGCTCGACTAGATTGTCCGTAACGACTTTGAAGCGGCTGCGACTACTACATCTGTTATAAAATAGCAACCTAATTATAAAAGCTGCCATGATTATTGCAAGATGTCGACATGCAATAGACATATCTATTTGTCCTCATCAAAGCAGAATAAGTCGACGACCTTGTAATATAGATTACAAGTACCTATTGAAAAAGCATTTATTTTAAAATGCAGATTAAGCACTTGGCGTAATTACCATTGCGATTTTATGAGACTTGCTAGCTAGTTTTAAGCGTAACTAAATGAAATAAAGATTTTTTTCAATATGTTCGGTATGATTCGACCTTCACAAGGTCACAGCTTTGCGTACAAAGGCAGTGGGGTTGTACTACAATACATTTAATAAAAAGTAACACGATGTAATGTGCACTTTTCAAGCTTCTTGTCAGGGAATATTTTCCAGAGATTACGGTGATGCTTTAATAAAATAACACAACAGCATAATTATAAAAGACAAGCGGGCATATTTACCACCATCAGGTAGAGGGGTTATCTACCTGACCTATACAGCCTTGAGCCTGTGTGAGGGTGCTTTAATGTTTAGTTCACGAATTCGGTTAGGATAACTTGAGGGTTGTTTGTTTCTTAAACTTTACCACAGTACCATTTGTGTTATAGCGTTTGTTTCGTTTAGACCTTAACTTCAGTTGAAAACGAATTTCAAGTGGTTAATTTTTCGTTAAAAAAATTGTGAATACGTCCTAAAGTATATGAATCAACATAAAATATAATGTCTCTTAAGGTTAGTACAATATTTTAATTATTTTTTAACAGCTGTTTTATATTGCGAAAATATTTCACATTTGTAGGATTTTCAAAGACAAATTAGACAGTGACCTCTTCAAACAAAGGTCAAAAGATTGTTACGTTCTGATAAATTCAAGGTCATCTATTCTGTAATTCAAAATCATACGAATTTTAATTGAAACATTGTTATTGAGTTATTTAGAGAAAAATGAATATGACCTTCAAACCACTTGAAGGACATGTACTAAAAATTTTCCAACCCCATATTCAGACGTGAAATTTGTCGCTATCGGAGGGTGCGGGTCTTTTTGTACACTTAAAACGTTATCATAGCAACGTTTGGACAGCTGAACAGCTGGTTTCTTTTAGATTTTAATCTCGTTTGAAAATTCCTATCAGTCGTTAAGTCTTATAGTAACCATTTTGTGAATACGACAGAAAGTTTTAATGTTACTCTACCTACTCTAGGCATAAATCCAAATGTCCCCAATGACCTTGTAGACTGCGAACGAGCATAGTTTCAATATAATACGTAGCTTTGTAGACGAGTAGGTACAATGTTTGAACCCTTCAAGGAAATATTTTTCCAGGTTATGTAATTTAGTAAAATTAAATAACAACATAATTATTAATGTCGAAGTAAGTGCTAGGTACGTACAATGCAAGTAAATAATGATTGAAAACGATATGTTGATGAAAAGAAAACTATCATTATTTTGTCACAGTTGACAACAACAAACGAACTTGTCTGATGGACGCAGAAGATGAAAAAGGGAAAAGAAATACTCAATTTTTTGCGAATTGTGTCAGTTACATTTCAAGGTTACATTGAAAATACTCACAATACATATTTCGAATAGTTCCTTGTTATTTTTATATCTTTCTAATTTTAAAATGAATGATTATTTTGCACCTATGGATTTGTATTTAATGATAAAAGAGCAGTGACTAGCATATATGATTTATTACAAAGTCTAGGCTTTCTTTCAAGTTTCAGTTTGCGAACAATTTGCGCTTAGCAGGCCGGTTGAAGTTTGGAAAACGGCCACGTATACTGTTAATTGAAGGAAATGTTATGAATATTCTATTTTTAATGGTAAGGTCAGGTATTTTTAGCGCTAGCTATTGGCTTGTGCCTGAGCTTTTATCTTGATATTTTCCTGTGCAAACTCTGCCTTTCCTGCTTTTTTCGTAGAATGACTTTGTGAAATAAATATGCTACTTTTCGAACTGCTAGACATTTAGAAAAAAAAATTTCACACAGCTATAAGGCAAAGTTTGTCAGTTCTGTAAAGTATGTTATTAGATTCTTATTTCTCGTTATTTTGCAACTCAAGGTCGTAATTGAGGTCAAACTCGTCCACCTGCACAATCAAGAAATATATTTTCGTTCACCTTTTCGATAGCAAAGCATTTTTTTTAATTCCTTAAATTTTAAGAGTAGGTATATACAAATGAGTTTTTGTAAAAACTACAGAAATTCGCGTGATACAGATTATAATATTCATAATAATACAGGATTATGACCTTTTATGACCTTCAGATAAGGTGACATTTATAGACAACGAAAAAATCATTCTTTACCCCGAAAGAGTTGTCTTAAATTTATAAATAATATTTTAAGGTCGTATTGTAATTTTCTAAACAGTGTAAAGTCTCTATTATTTTTTTATTATTTGTATAAAGGTAATTTGTGACATTATCTTGTAATGGATTGACAAAATATTTCATTATTAATTAAGATAACTCTTTTAATGAATTAAATATTCAAAAACAATTGAAACGAGGTAAATATTTTTCAAGGTCGCGAATATCAGCCTTGGATTTTGACCTTGACGATATTTGTTTTATTCCAAGGTCAAATTTTCTGAAGGTCATATCTTGCCAAGCTGAACTTTCGTATAAAATGCGGATGTCCTCCGCTAGAGTTCAGTGTTCCTAAGAAGTGCTACGCCTGTACTTTCCATCGTCTACATCTGTTACTGTGAGGAAAGTGATAATTTTTTTAAACGTATGTTCTACTGTTAGTTCTCGTATTTTTTACTCTATTTTAAAGCTGTTTCCTAGATAGAAAATATTTGTTTGTATTAGCTGAATATCTCTAAAATAGAGTAAAAAAGTAAGTAATAATATTTGTGTTGTAACTAATAATATTTAGACAAAAAGCCATAAGTTATGTGTTTAGGCACTGCAATAGTTGGTGCTAATTGGTCATAAAGACCTGTTTATTTTATATATATTTCACAAAACTATTTTATCAACAATTAATTTACACTAACTGCTGTTTTGTCTCGCAAATTTCTGTATTATCGTTGCAAATAACTTTAATTTGATTTAAATAATAATAAGCAGGTAGTTTGCAGCAATGGACCATCTGTATTGTATTGTTTATTGGTACTATTTTCAATATAACTTCACTTTAAGTTGATTCGGATGTAACTATTAGAAAATTATGAACCGCTAGTTAGGTACTTGTAATTTTTGATACAAAAATTGCTACTTGTTTTTAATTGTAATAAAAATTAAGTCGAAGGCTAATATGGTATTCCTCAAGGAGAAGGTTTTCAAGGTCTTTTGGGTCGAACAGCTGTCGACCTCGGTGCGTTCTTATGTTAGTAATTTATATTTTACAATTCTTACAATGAACGATTCCTTACTAATTACAGTTTTAAAATTTAATTTTTTTTTCAACAGATCACTGCAACTGGAAAAATGAGCTGTGAAAACTTGTCCAGCGACACAGAAAGTCTAGTAACGGAAGAAGAGGTCACACCACCAACAAATTCTGACGAGGAGGAAGAACCTGAGCCAGATCTAACAGATGAAGATTTTGAATACCAAGTGGTAAACGCTTGCAAAAATTTCACAAAAACTATAAACGATCTCGCCACGAGGAAAGATATATGTGTGGCTAAAAATAAGGACGCGCGTCTCCTTCTGGACAAGGCTAACGCAGGAGTGGCATCGGCTAAGCAAGACTTAGATAGGAAGGAAGCCAATTGTAGATCTTTACGAGAAAGTCTGGAATCACTGCGTCGGCAAGTAAGTTGGGCCGAAGAACAATTGCAAATTTCTCGAAAGCAGTATGACAGATGGCTGAGGGATGAAGAGACTGCTAACAAGGAATTCAAATACTCTGTGAAGGATCTGCGCAGATTGGAGATGGCGGAAACGCTCATGGCTAAACATTTCACCAACTTTTTTCAACAAAAGAAGAAAGCCTACGCCCTTCAGTGTACTAAAAGCGGCCAGTGAAGCGCCATGGAAATATGCTAAGTACCTACCAAATTATTGGAGAAATGTAATTTTTTTGTAAAAGTTGCATTGATGTATTTGTTGTAGTAGGTACTGATCCGTATAACCTCTGTAAGACTGTATACTAGTTCTTAAATAAAACTGCCCTTAAAATAAAGTGTTTAAGTTATTTTTGCAGGCTAAGAAATATACTTATTTGTACTTGAATTTATTTAATTTTGAGGGTGTATACAAAATCACGTTTTTAAAACCCACATAAAATTTATTTGCACAATATATAAGCATTCAACCAATATCACATCATACAGATTACCATACTTATGACTTTAAAATTTCAGTAACAAATGAAATAAATCGATAAGAAATCATAAAATTGTACTTAAGGTGATAAAATACCTTTCTATAAAATTCGCAAGTATTATTTCGTTAATGAAATTAGGTATCTCTGTTGTATAAAGAATGATCTGTACAACCTTCAGATAAGGTGATATTTATAGACAATGAAAAAATCGATCTTTGCCTTGAACAATTTGTTTTAATTATATATCCTCTAAAATTTATTAAATATTTGTGTAGAGACAACTATCTTTCAATGAAGTGAATAAATATTTCCTTATAATTCCTTAATATACTCTTTTACTGAATGTTCCAAAAAAAAGTGAAAGGATGCTAATATTATTCAAGGTCATGGACAATATCACCCTCGCATTTTGACCTTGACACTTTTCAAGGTCAAAATTTCTGAAGGTCATTTGCTATCAATAAAGTTTTTTTGACCTTCAATCCTTTAATTTCTAAATGCAGAGTGACTTTTACTGACTATTAAAAAAAATAATGGTGAAACGAGGCTTATATTGCTCAAGGTCACGAATAATATCACCTTCGCACTTTGACCTTGACGTATACGGTTTTTCTAGGGTCAAAATTTCTAAAGGTCACTAAAATTAAGTTTGTCGAATACTTTTGGCCAATACCTTCACTCCTATAGTTTCTAGATACATTTCTAGATATTTGCATTAAAATGATTCATGTTTGCGATAACAAAGTATTTGTATCAGCCTTGGTTCTAACCTTGTTTATGTTTTATCTCAAGGTCAAATTTTCTGAAGGTCTTTTCAAGGTTGAACTTTCATATAAAACTGGGATATCCCCCGCTACGCTTCATTGTCCAGTTGTTTGAAGCGATAGGCCTGTAGTTCCCTTTTTGTGCATCATATAGACCTTATACCATAACAGGTAGGAACAATTTTTACAAAGTAGTATTAGAAATAATTTTAATAGTTTCCTAAATTTAAATTTATTGCGATGGTACCTGAATATGGGCTTAAAGTTACTTAATTTGTGCTGTTGCTGTAGTCGACTCTAAAATAATAGTTCATAGTCTTCAACTATTTAATGTACCTAAAGATAAAATTTTGTTTTTGTACTTCTTGTTTAGACAATTATGAAAATTATCTTCCTGCTGTAACAGTTGGCTTTAATTGCTATTTAGAACCTGTTTATTTGTACAGTCCATTACACGACACTATTTTATCAACAATTTAATTAAATTAGCAACAACTGACCCACATCACTTCTGTTTTGTCTTACAAATTGCTATATTATTGTTGCTAATGAAGATACAGCTCTATTATGTTTTGATGTGAAATTACAATTTTAATTTGAACTTCTCCTTCCATAGATCGCTGTTCACTCGCAACCAGTAGAACAATGAGCGGTGAAACCTTGCCTACTGCCCCAGGAAACGTAAACATGAAAGAAGACACACCAACAGAAGATTTTGACGAGAAAAATGAAGATCCAGATCCAGCAGGAGATTTTGAACACCACGTGCTACAGGCGTGCAAAGAATTCACACACACGATGAATGACCTTAACACGAGGAAGACTGAGAGTTTGGCTAGAAACAGAAGGGCGCGGATCCTTGTGAACAAGGCAATGGCGGCCAAAGAGTCAGCTAGGCAAGACGTCGGGAGGAAGCAAGCGAATGTGAAATCCTTACGAACCCGTTTGGAGTCGTTGCAGCGGCAACTAGCTTCGGCCGAAGAAGAATTGCAATGTTCTCGGCAGCACCACGACAAGTGCATCAGCGACGAAGATGCTGCTAACAAGCAGCTCAGATATTCAGTGAAGGACCTGCACAAGTACGAGATGGCCGACCAAGTGACGACTAAGTATATAGTCAACTATTTTAAAGAGAGGAATAAGGTTCGCGTCGCTCAATATATTAAGGCTAGTCAGGGAAAGGCCGAAGAAGTTCTTTGAGAAATATGAGTAACATGTAACATTAACATAATAAAATTATTACTTTTACTACTGATCAGCTTATAACATTTGTAAGACTGTACCTATACTAATTTAAATAAAGAACAATACACGAGTATAAGTGATTAATAATTTCCTTAATAAAATATTTGATCTACTCGCATTAGAAACCGGATTGTAAACATTAGAATGTCATATACACTAAATTGAGAAGTTGAAATCAAAAGGCAAACAAGAAAAAATTGTCTTTCCTCCAAAGCGCACATCCAGACAAGCATAATGGGTCAGAAACGTCGATAACCTTCCAGTACTACGCATGCAACGCGCCTAACCCATACTATAGAAAAAAAAATGTGCATGAAAACAGCGTTTGCGCAACCTCGCCAGCGTTTGTGAAGAAATATTTACCTATCCTCGTTATGTAACAGCTTGTGGTGTGTGACCTTAAAATCTCTGACGGTGTCATTTCCATTTGTGAAATATGTTTGTATATTAAGCCGGTTCTGCTCGCAAAGGCCATAATTACCAGTTGGTTCGATGGGCAGCAGGCATGGGCGCCGTTTTGGGGGAAGAGCAAGGAGAGGTTCAGCTCTCTCAAAAGATATTCAGGATATTATATTCAGAACGCCTTTTACTTCTTCAAGCATAAATATGTAGCCTTTTTTACTTTGAAATATTGAAACCGATTGAATATTATTTTCTGATCTCGACAGACAACTTCTGTCTTTCGGGTGCAAACAAAAAACATAAAGGAGGTAGAGCCGTTTCATACATGTCATACCCTTAACTCAACCATGCTAGTGTGATATGTTTGTTATTAAACCAGATGTAAGTGCAGCGGAAGCCATTAAATAAATAAAAGCTATGTTTCCTGTTTAGATTTGTGCGAATAGATCTGTTTTCGATATCTGTGTACAGCAATTACAACACGTGTGGGAGTACATTTTGCTGTTTGCGTCATATTACCAACCAATGCAATCTTTAAAATATTTAATACAGTATATATATTAAATATCAAAGTGGAAGCGTACACATTGCTTTGTTATGAAATCAATTTGACGAAACAAATAAATGGGTAGATCAGAAAGATTTAACAATTCACGTCTAAAATTATGGTAACGATCGTGTACTTGCTGTTTGGACTACAATTTTTCTTTCGGCACGCGGATTTTTTGCATGTTGCCTTTACAGCCGTTTGTTGACGAGTCCCTCAGCAAAGTTAACGTTACTTTCCAGTCCGTAGGTACTCAAGGAAGGTACGTAAGTGATTCTTCATTCGTTCACGTACTTCCAACTCCAGGCAGAACAGGCATTTCGAATGACAAGTGCGTATGCTATCGATGACAGGTCCGCTTCACTTCAAACAACGGACGGTCGGGGTGAGTGCCCGCACGGCCTACTAGGAGGTATTTTGAATGGAGTTTAAGAGGCCTACGTTTTGTAATCGGACGCGAGATAGCCTCTTACCATTTAATGCACGGCAATCTTTATTCATTCGATATTCAGTGTGGTAAGGTGTAATTTTTTTTTAATTATATCAAACCCTTTCCTGATAATTTTTTGGATTCTAGTGCTCATACCTGGTGCATAGCCCTCTTAATGTTGGGTTCAAGTAACTAACATCTTAAAGAAAGGTAATAAATAGCCCTTTTGTTATGATGCAAGTAAATATTTTCTTGTTTGACTTGATGGTTGATTAAAAGAATAATGAAGTTGTTAAAACTGTTTCTGTGCGCCAAAAGTGTCATATACGATTGGTAGAAGGGAAAAATTATGCATATTTATTTATTTTGAGGCAGTAATCTATTTTTTTTAATAATATGGGCATTTAAAAATTATATTAAATAACAAGCACTTAATTGCATGTTATATATTACAGTTAGTTATCAAAAACGCCGTATAGAAACCTTGTACTTTCTTCGATAATAGACCTGCAAGATATGTTATGCTGTGGGATATCTACTCGAGGCTTGATTATATGTTGTGCAACTTAACCAGTGTCAACCACAAGTTGCGATAAAGTAGAAAACGATGCCAAATCAAGGTTATTCGTCGTAAACTAGGGAAACAAATACAATTTCTCAACGTATTTGTTCGAGAACTGGTTCGTCCCTGTGTACATTTGAAGAAATTATTTGGCTATTGACTAATATTCGAAGTGATGTTACATTGAGTCACCGCCTGACATCATAAATCATGCCTATTTTTATCAGTTGGCACTGCACGCCCATAATTATTACGTCAATAGTCCACGGAATGGGAAAAATAGACAGCGCGGTTTCTATTGAAAAAAGACAGTTGAAATTGTTCTTTGCGAATCCTAATAATAGTAAAGCTTATTTAATATTTTATCATTTTCTGACAAAAAGCAAGAACTAACCGTATCTGGTTCGAAACGATTGTTCTAGCTCGTACTATACCTGCCCGTCGTCGATTTATGGCTGGGACTGTACAAGGGCAATTTGTTCAACAAACGTTAATCAGCAAATTCATTACCGTATATCTTGCCGTGTAATTACATGTTAATTGCGATGCTGATTAGTCATTCATGAGTTAGCAATAAATGGCACCAAAGATAGTAGGTACATGAAATTAAAGTATGAGAGTATGATTGTTTAATATATCTGATAAAAGATAGAGATAAACGCTGTAAATCGTATGTCATGCTTAGATGCAGATGCTCGAAATGGTGGAATTTGAGTTGTTGACAAGGTAAAGTTGATTATTAATGCACACAATTCATTGGAAGGTTACTATGATGTTTAACAGCTCGAATTTTATTATTAGTCCGGTCACTGAAGCAATTTGGCTACCAATTTTTTCGGATGGAATGGATTGACGTGAAATTTGAACTGTGGCTAGAGTATAGCCCAAGAAACAAAAGTTATATAGTGCCGATGTGTGCTTTTACCCTAGGGGTAGATGCCATCTCTTCTGGAGGGTGGGAATTTTTTATTAAAAATAACCTCGCGATTCGATAGAGGGACGAATTATAGGTAAAAAATGTTCTATAAGAATATTTGTACATTCAATACTTTTTAAGTTATTTGCGCCTAAACATGTTCGTTGTAGCCTAAAAAATGCATGTTTTTGAGCTATTTTTCGCGAATATCTCAAAAACTACAAGTTTTATCAAAAAAATGATCATAAGCAAAAATAAAGGTAATTAAATAGCAAAGAGACTGCTTTTTTATTTTTGTAGGTGGTACATATAGAACCCGAGTTATGACTCCCAAAAGTTGAAGTCAATTTCGAAGGAAGCTATAATTGAAACGTTCAACGTTCTGTAGCGGAAAAAATAAAGGTTTTTCGAGGAAAACATATATAACACCTATTAAAGTTCTTGAAAAAAACCTTTAAATTGAGTGGCGGTAGAAGTCGTTAGCATGAAAACTGATAATAATGAATAAAATCATTGTCTTGATTTTTGAGAACAAAAAATCGGTATTAAAATTAATGACTTGACGGAAAAAAAGTTAAACGTATTCCTGCTGCTATTTACTTTATTTATGTACTAATAGTAGATTCTGGGAATTTGAACGATTTCAGAAGCCTAAATTTAAAAAAAAAAATCATTTACTTTTGAATAAAATTTTTAAATTTTTAAAAAAATCGCCTATCAAAATATTTTAAAAACTAACAAAGTTATAAAAAAATATAGAATCAAAAATTGTAGGTTTTTTCTTACTGAACAATTTGCTTTTCTTTAAATTTTCGTAGGACAAAATTTGACTGAGTTGTGAGTGTTAGAAGCTCAAAACTAAGGTCCAAGACTGCCTTTCCTGAGCCCTTTTAGCTTACAAATCTAAAAAACGAAGGGCCCAAAAAAACTGCAAATCAAAGAACTTAAAGTGCTTTAAATTCCCTACAAAATGTTTTTTTGAGTAAATTTATAACTTTAAAATTACAAAAGTTATGGTAAAAAAATTAATCGCATTTTTTTCGGTAAAATTTTCGGTGCGGGTAAATTACCATCATCTTTGTGTATTTTGGAGCACTTGTGAACTATAATTTTTAGGAAATTTTTCTATAAGGGTTAGGGTTTTCTATAAGGGTTTTTTTGGGTGGCTGAAAAGTTGGAATATCATAGATCATTTAAAAATCAATAAAAAGTTTATAATTCAACATATATTATGCATACCATTAAAACATCTCAAGCTTTCAATAATATTTTATTTTATTATAAGGGATGATTTTTAAGGATTGCAACTTTGTAATGAGTCGTAAGCTTTCTAATGAATAACAAAAGAAATGTAATACATTGTGAATGGACCAAAAGAATATTTTAAACTTTTAAAAACTTTTTTTTCTATTTTTTTTGGCCATGGAAGAGTAGTTTTTAAGGATTTTTAAGGGTTGAAAAGTAAATAAATTTCATAAATTATATTAAAAAACATGAAAGGAATTTTGGCCTTATTAATAAATTTGTCTGCATTAACTACACATTTTTTGTTTGGCTTCGGTAGAAATGTACAACGATTTTATTAAAAGTTGGCCATGCCACGAAACTGAAACAAGTGAACTGTTTATTCGGCTAAATCAAAGCTGCTGTGCAATTTCTAATCCGTTCCGTTGCCTCAATTGATTCATTGTCTTTTTAGCAGCTTTCATAGAACTTTGATAATAATAAAAAAACAAGTATGAATCGATTATAAGCGAAACTTGTTGGGAAAATATAAAAGTAATCTGCACAACACTGAACCAAATGCCAAAGAAAATGATGTTCTCCTTCGTTATTGCGGGCGTAAATTGCTTTTGTGCTTTTACCTTGATACTTGACACAATATAAGAAGGTTCTTAAAGTTTTTGTAACATTTCAGATACCAGTATTCGCTAAATCTTTCGGATGCCGCATTTTCTCTTATTGCATCAATAGCGTTTCAGTCACGGGATGATTTTTTTGATGCTTCTAGAACACTTGAAAATCCAATAAATGTTTGTGAACGAAAATTGTTTTAAAAGATTAAGTAAAATGTTTGGTGAACGTATTTTTCATTGACAAGTGTGTTGTTTTTCCGAAAATATAGCAGTTTGCGTC